GAAAATGTCAAAGACTGCAGAGTTATGTGATTTAAAGATAAAAAATAAAACTGACTGATTATAATGTTTTCTTCATTTTTCTCTCAAAACATGATCCTTATAAGGAAGTTTCGGTTTCGGCTGAAACTGAGACCGTTGCCGAAATTCGGCTTCGGTTTCGGTCGGACACTAGTAAGTTTCCTAGATGGTATAGTAGAAAACTGATAGATTGTATCTTTTCGAAGAAAAAAGCGCATTTAGATTATAAATGAAACTATTGACCGAGCAAATACGCACTCTTCTCTAATTTGAGAAGAAAATGTAAACACCTAGCGACCAGAGATTATATGGTATATTGTGATGAGACTGAAAAAGCTGTGATAGATAATCCAAAGTTCTTCTGGAGTTATGCAAACTCACGTAGAGTAGATAAAGGGTTATCGAATGTGATGTCACATGACGGTATCATATCAGAATAGTAGACGCTTTTGCTGAGCATTTTAAGACCTTTTATAGACCTTCTAGTCGTATCGATATTCAGTTAAGCGATCAATCGCCGCTATGTCTTAACTTTATCGAGATGTCTAGTTCTGACGTTTTCGACAAAATTTCAAATATCAATGTTAACAAGGGAATTGGTCCTGACGGAATCCCCGCTTTGGTTATTAAACAGTGTAAATACTGTTTTGCTTATTTTTTCAAAATTTTGTTCGACAAATCGCTTACGGCAGGCCGTTTACCTGACAATTGGAAATCGGCCTATATTATCCCGATTTTCAAAAAAGGTGACAAATGTATCATTAGCAACTATAGACCTATCTCTATCATGAATGTTATTTCCAAAATTTTTGAATCTATTGTCTGCGATAAATTCAGATTGTTGGTTTTATTTTGGATTCGTTTGATAAAAAACAAGTCGATAGTATTTATACCGATTTCAGCAAAGCTTTTGAGACGGTAAATCATGCTATTCTTTTAACTAAGCTGAAGTCATTTGGAATAGTTGGCAACCTTTTGAAGTGGTTTGAGAGCTATTTGTCGAACAGAAACCAATCTACTTTCTGGAGTCCCTCAGGGATCTCATTTAGGGGCAATCCTGTTCTTGATCTTCATTAACGATTTTGTATATACATTGCCTATCTGATGTTGAATGTTTGCTTTTTGCGGATGACTTAAAGATTTTTAAACTTATTGAATCAACTAAAGATATTACTATTTTACAAAACAACCTAGATTCTTTATATAGATGGTGCGCAGACAACGACATGTACTTAAACCCTGATAAATGTACATCTATCACTTTCTCAAGGAGTAGAAAACCGATTAAGAGTGTCTATTCACTCAACGGTAGGACACTCGAGCGAGTGACTAAAATCAAAGACCTGGGCTTTATTTCGACGAGAAGTTAACTTTCGAACATCACAGAGATTTTATTACAAACAAGTTCTTGAAGCTCCTGGGCTTTGTTAGAAGAACTTGAATTGACTTTAAATCTTCACGGGTGTTGCGGATACTTTATCTTGCATTGATGAGACCGACTCTTATGTTTGCCTCTATAATTTGATCCCCTTTTTCTTCTAGTCATTCCAACCGATTAGAGACCGTTCAACACAAGTTCTTCAGAATACTTGCGCCGCGCGTGAATTTACCTGACCCGTTTATAACATAACTATAGCGAGATATCCTCTCAAACACGTTTACCAACGTTGAAATCTCTTCGCGAATCACAAGACGTAAAATTTCTACTCAAACTCTGCAATGGTACAACTGACTGTAAGTTACTCTTTAGTAAACTCAACTTCAGAGTTCCCCGCTCAGGTTCGCGAAACAGAGACACTTTTTATTCAGATTATTTCAACACGCTATACATCGGTAGTAATCCTCTAACGAGAATGTGTAAATTAGTCAACAATCTATAGATTGATTTCATCCAAACAAATGACTGTGTTAGATATGGAGGTTATCGGAAGACTTCTGGGTAAACAATAAAACGTAAATTAATTACACTAAGATTAACTTTATTAAATTGGATATATAATCCTTAATTATAAATCAATATAATTTCACGAGGTATCTGTGTTGACTTCTACTATACTATCTATATGATGATAAGTAAACACCCGAAGTAAGGTTAATACTATGTACAATCGATAATACATCGAAGTAATAAATCAATATCGATAGTACGATTATGGTGACGTAATAAATGCGCGAATTGCATTTGAATTTGAATATTTTCAACACTAAGAAAAAAAGATACATGAATGTAAGTAATCTGGAAAAAAAACATATTAAAAATCAACTCAATGTAAAGATACTTTTATAACTTACNTGTATTATACAATATTATATTTTTCCATTATAACATTTTCTTTTTTGTGTAAAATGGACAATAAGTCCGTATGGTAATAATAAATAAATAAATAAATAAATAAAAAAGGTAGTGTTTCTACAAGAGTTTTATTTTGTTTATGGAAAAACTGCTTAAATTTTGAATTGCATTATTTTCGGGGTCCGAATCGTTCAATAAAAAAATGTCCAAACCTCCGAATCAGTTCAAGAAACACCGATTGGACTGAAAATTGTTTTAAAAGCTTATCATACCCTTCTCATCGAAAGTTATATGAGCCTGTTTAAAATCACATTAAAAATTGTAGTATAAACATTAGTTTTTAGTTAAAATATAATTTATAATCGATTACAACGTTCCCATCCTCACAAATCACTCCTAATGACCAAAAAACCAAACAAAAATAGTTCGAAATTAATTTAAACTGCATTTATCATCATTATCATAAGGTCGTCAGTCCTAAGACTGGTTGAACATGCACCTCCACTCTTTCCTATCCTGAGCTAAACTTCGTATTTCCCTAAAACTAGAACAACCCATATCCTTAACAATTTTCGAACAGTCATCTAATCTAGGTCTACGTTTACCCCTCCTAACTTCCGTTTCTGCCTCTAATATGTCTCTGACTAGACCTTCATGGCTGAGAAGGTGTACTACTAACCTATCTCGTCTATTTCTTATTGACTTCCATAGAGTCCTCTGTTCTCTTACTCTTTTTAATTCCTCTTCAATTTTTTTATACTCACTATTCGCCTGTAGCACCACATTTCGAACACTTCTAAACTTTTCCATGTTTCGCACCCATACAGCGCCAAACATACACCTTTAACAACTTTTTTGAATTTCTAAATTAACCGTTCGCGAGAAGTGACTTCTTTTTATTGAAGGCGACTCGACCCTGCGCTATCCTCTGCTTTACACCGCTACTACTCCTTCCGTCCTGACTTATCTGATTTCCTAGATACCTAAAATCGGCCACTTCTTCTAATTTTTCGTCTCCTATCTTTATATTCACCCTTTCCCTACTTTTCATTCCCTTGCACACCAGTATGTTTTACTTTTATTTATTTGCATACAGTACTGTTTTGTCAATACCGCTTCCATTTTATTTAAAGCTATCTCTAACTCCTCCTTGCTAGACGCTAATACTGCTATATCATCTGCAAATTTAAGCAAACTCATCTTTTACCCCTGTATATCTATCTCTAAAGTTGTACTGTCTTTAATGATGCTGATCGCGTCTTCGATGTATAGATTAAAAAGTAGCGGTGACAGTGGGCATCCCTGTCTGACTCCCTTCCTAATATTTACTTCTCTATGTTGCAGCCCCATCTCTATAACTGCCTGTTGCTCTTTATACAAACTAAGTATCACTCTTATATCTTTGTAGCTCATCCCTACATTTTTAAGTATATTTAACATCTTGTCCCATTTAACGTTGTCAAAAGCTTCTTATAAATCTACAAATCCTATGTACACCCTCTTTCATTTTTTATCGTTTTCTGTATTGTTACCCGTAAAGCTAGAATGGCCTCCCGCGTTCCTCTATTTCTTCCAAACCCAAATTGATCTTCCACTAATAGTTCTTCCGCCTTTTTTTGGATCCTTCTCTGTACAATTTTAGTTATGATTTTTGACGCATGGGAAGTTAAGCTAATTGTTCTAAATGTCTCGCACCTATCCGCGCCACTCTTTATAGTTATGTTTACTGCCACGTTCCATTTATAATCCCCGTCTCGTAAATGTGACTAGCATAAACATACGATCTCTAACCTCTTGTCCTGCATGTTTTAGAATTTTCCCTTGTATCCCTTCTACACCTGGCGCCTTATTATTCTTTAAGTTTTTTAATGCTACATCTTCTCTCTTTATGGGATGACCTAGTATATCTGTAGCTGCGGACTTTAGGCACATTTTAATGCAGTCCCATTCTGTCTTTATGTACCTGTCATTCGTTAATCACACCGTCTTTAGTATTTCGTCTATCCTTGTACCTAGCCTATCACGCGTTTCGTTACACTTTAGCTTTTCTAAGTCAAGATGTCTCCTACCTTCCCTCTTTTTCGGAATTTTCAATTTATGATTAGTCTTCATAACTACTAAGTTATGATCGCTATCTATATCTGCTCCTGGACAACTCCTAGAGTCCTTCACTTGATTTTTAAATCTTTGCTTAACAAGTATGTAATCTAACTGATATCTTACTAAATCACCTGGCATCTCCACGTTTAGCGCCTCCTACGTTAAAGTCTACAACTATTAGGTTTTCCTACCCTTTCACTAAACTTAATACGTCTTCTATATCTGCATAAATCGCTTCTACGTTTTCATCACTGTAAGATTATGTAGGCATGTAGACCTTCACTAATACCGTTTCTACCGGCTTCGAGTTTAATTTAACCATAACTACCCTATTGCTCTTTTGTAAATAACTTTCTACACTGTGCCCTATTTTCCTACACCCGAATTACCTTCCACCGATCCTGTATGTCTTACTCTAAAGTCTCCACTTCAGAAGTCTCCAGCTTCGGGCCAACGGACTTCACTAATACCGAATGCTGCACTCTACATCAAACAATGGACGAGTTCAACTAATGCTTCTAATGCTATCTTAGCAATGGCTGTTGTTAAAGACGGCATGTATGCAAATTAACTTTATATATTTTTTCAGAATGAAATCGCAACAGATTGGTTGTATAGTCCTTACATTTCTCATCATAACAAGTGCATATAGTAGAATGCAACTAAGATCGTCATATGCTGGATTTGATAGAAAGACTCTCAAAACGGCAAGAGGGTTTGGAAAACGTTTCGTTTCACCACCTACAGTTAACAAGTAAGTAAATGACAAAAAGTAGTATTGAAATATCTTTATCTACAGATAAGCTGAAGTATCTGTTTTTATTTAAGTTTTGTCTCAAGAAATCTTGATCACCACTTGGAATACCTAAAGTATCAAAATTTTAAAAGAAGGTATAAATGCATGTTGTTTCTTTTCTCGTTAGTTTGTTTCTTATGCATTCCTTACTTTTAATTATTATTCATTCATTGTAAGATTGGGACCTAAGCGTGGTTGCACCTTTACGAAACAAAGTAGGGATGTATAACCGAAAGCAGTGCCCAAATAAACTTCATCGTCTTGTGTTTAGCCTAAATTATTTTGAGTATTTCACTAAAAAGGACTTAATTTAGTATATCTACCACTGTATATATAAATATTTTTAACGAATTTCTTTTTTTTTACAGTTTGCTACTAAAATGGCTAATGGAAAATAAATTAAAGGCACTTGATCAGAAGAAGAAAATTACTGGTTACATTAAAAATAAAATAACGTTTTGATTGTGTATTTATTCATTCACTACTTTTTCACATAACTAATTGTTTTGTTTTAAAATTAAATTATAATTAGCAATTAGATAATATAACAAATAAAAGTGGATTATACGTACAACAGTGAGTAAATTTTGAATTACCTTTATTATCTGCTTGAAGTCGGTTTCAAAATATAATACTACGGAATCACAGAAGAACTGAAATTAGGATATTGCTGTTAAGAAATAAATAAAACAACTTGATTTCAACAAAATGAAATAAGAGTGGATAGGTGATTTGGTCACATATTTATGTGGAATTTTCTCAACGCGAATCAGGTTCTTAAAGTAATAGTAATTTTTACAAAATTTTTTAAATTTACTGAAAAACTGGTAGGACTAAAAAAAACTCATCAACCAGTAAACATATGAATAAAGGGAAAATTAAAAATAATACGTATAATGTTTACAAATGCATATCAAATATTAACGATGTAACTGGTTCTTTTCTGAAAATAATCACAAATTATCCAGAAAAGTATAATTTAAATTCTTTATTGAAGAATTTCAGTAAAGGATATGAATTTGAATATGATGACCAAATAAAGTAGGACACTTCAACAAGATATTCTGTTTATTTCAAATTCGATCAACAAATGGAGTGTAACTCAACAAATTTTTAATAAGGGGTACAGTAACGAAGCAGGTAAGATGACGAACAAAGGACGCAGGTTTATTGAATTTTAAGGGGATATTTCTCTATCCATTGTTACCTCTTCAAATATTTATACTAGAAGTTTTACGATTTTTTTTTTCATCGCATAGCAGTCCGAAACGGCATTTAGCAGGCAGACACATTGCAAAAACATGAAACAAATACCAAAGTTACTGTTTTGCCTAAAGAAAAGAGGGTAAATGGTAACTCACCGGGGGAATTGCATCCGCCATTCAGACCTTTAATAAAAAGCTCATCTTTCCATATCAAATATATATATAACAAACCATAATCTTCAGAAATGTACATTTCCACCTGAAACGAGTAGAGGCTCCCCTGGACCCCCGACTACCGCGCTAGTAGTCAGCATCAAATTTTTGAGAACACCAAATCATGTCAACCGGGCGCATGTAGGGCCCCTTACCTACATGTCTCTGCTCCACAGGAACCACATCCCCAGAGAGGACGGGATTTGCGCGCCGGGAGCTTGCACCATACAGATGCATAAAGTACCACACAGGTAAAACAACATAATCGCATCACACAGATGCATAAAGTACCACACAGGTAAAACAACATAATCGCATCACACAGATGCATAAAGTACCACACAGGTAAAGCAACACAATCGCATTACACATATGCATAAATTACCACACAGGTAAATCAACGCAATTGCACCACACAGATGCTAAATGGAAGTGTACACTTAAAGCATGTGCAAAACAGTTCTGCACACAGGCTTGGCCAAAATAATACTGACTCAAAATAAGACAAAATATGTCCGTGCCTGTCCGGCTATTGACCTTCAATGAAAAAGGTCATATTTCAAATAATAACACTGACAAAAATATAAAGATATAGTAGCTAGATAAAATATAATTACAATTCCACTAATAATAATAAAAATAAAAAATTATTCCAAAACGTAAATTATTGTTACACTACTGGCCGCGAAAGCCTTTACCAATTTTGTGGTAATAAAAGTAACTTTACCAATCGAACAGAAACTACGGAATGCAGGCTACAACGTATCGTTACACGTACAATTGACCTGTCTGCGTACCAGCTGTTGCAAAGGTCACAACCAGGTATGCGTATTTCGGCACTTGACGTTTGCGATAACGAAGAGCGATAATATTATCGACGCGCTAATTAAACGCACCAGTGCAGCCCTGCTCAGCAGGTAAACTAAAAACTTGGCCCAGGTCAGCCGCAACGTGACGCCCAACTTTGTCACATGACGCAGCTGTCCACCATGTCCCTAAACCTACTAGCCGTCAAATTAATACCCTTCGTGCCGTCCGACCCCGAACTTTAGTTTTGTATGGTCGATTGCAGTTTTGAGGTCTAAGGAACTATATCCGAATCACGGAAACGGTTCAACAGCAACGACAAAACCAGTGACCTATGCTATTACCATAACAAATTAAAGGATGAGGCACGAAAATGCATCCCTCTGTGTAGGAAGTCATCGGGAAGCCAGCCAGGAATTCACTAATGGCGACAAGTGAAACCCATATAGCGCAGAGTCGCAATATGTATCAGACAGAATCACACGTCACAAATTCCTGCTGACATCTGGGTGTATCCCAAGTCTAAGCAGCAAACCACTCCCGGTTCATCGGTAGCATGTAAACCACGACGTGTAGCTCCGAATCGTTTCTCTGCAGCCAAGAGAGAATTTAAACGTTGGTACAGCCAGGTATCGCACGTCTTTTCTCCAGCCTCTGGACATGGCCACTACACATGTTTCCAAAGAAAGACTATGAATACCGAGCTCTCAACGCAACAACAATCCTTTGACAAACAAAACAGTTGTCTCTACAATCGACCTAGTTCGAGCCTATATGCAGATTTCAGTTGCAGAATAAGATATTCCGGAAACAGTAATTACAACACCGTTTGGTTTGTTCGAATTTCCGTACATGAATTTTGGATTACGCAACGCCAACCAAACATTCCAAAGCTTTATCGACGATGTATTACACGGCATTGCATTCTGTTTCGCTTACATCGTCAATATACGTACTGGTCACACCGGAAATTCCTGAACAGCACAAGCAGAATTTACACAATTTATTTACTCGCCTGCATTCCCACGGTATATAACTTAATTAATCGAAATACAAATTTAGTAAAGAAAGAGTCCCTTTTCTAGGTTACTCTGTCTCGGTAAATGGAAAACGCCCTTTACCAGAGTGACAGAAATCATTAGCTTTCTACAGAAAGTTTCTGTCCAACGCTGCCCGCACTCATTCTGCTTTAAATGAACTTCTACTGGGGAAAATAAAAGGAAATGCATCACTTCAGTGGAATCCCACAACCGACGAGGCAGATGAACAACATCCTCAAGCTACACCTACAGAGAAGAAGATGGACGATAGACCAGCACACACAACAACCCGGTCCTTTCGTCGAGTACATTTTCCAAGTTACATCCGAACGGGTTAATCTAGATTGTTTCTCACTGGAAAGGGAGTCCTGTTGGAACACTCGGTACAGTGATTCATTTATGCTTACATAGTAAAATTGCGACACAGTGCGACCAACCAGGTCAAAGACATTTACAAACACTAATGTAATTGTGTACGTTAATCTAATTAATCTTGTGTTGGTTAGGGAATAAAAACAAATATAAAAATTTTTTTATTTAATATATGAAAACGCTAGGAGGAAGAACATTAACAAAAATTACAATAAAAAAGGGTGTGGTAATCAGAAAAAACATTAAAACAACTCAATTTGAAACCATTTTTCTTTTTTTAATATTATTTCATTTTATTTACTGATCACTACTTACTATCTACTGCTTACTATTACTTATACGTTGACATATAATTATTAAAGGATTGTCAGACTTAAATCAAAGCAAAAAAGATAGGTACAGGACTACAAAGTGGGAAATAATTAAAAAACGTAGAGCAGCTAAGGAACAGTGGATTAATATGAGGTGTAATGAAGAAAAGTTTGAAGTAGGTAAACCTATAAGGCTTATGTTATAATTTAAAGGGAATTTAGAGATGTAGAGTACAGAAGTAATAATTTAACAAACGAGGCAGGGGTCATTTTGATAGAAAATGAGGAAAAGGCAGACAGGTCGAAACAATACTTAGAGAACCTATACGCAAGCCATGAGTTAGGAGATATATTAGAAAAGAAAGATGGTGTGGAGATAGTAGAACTAAGTTATCCCATAATGAGAGAAGAGTTCGATGTAGCATTAAAAGAACTTAAAAAATAATAAGACATCAGGTATACATGGGATACAGGTGGAAATTTGAAACACGCAGGACGAGAGGTTAGAAATCGTATGTTTAAGCTAGTTAGTCAGATTTACGTAACGGAAGTCTCAGAGGATTATAAACGGAACGTAATAGTAACTTTACCTAAAAAAAGAGACGCGGATAGGTACCAGACATTTAGAACAGTTAGCCTAACTTCCCATACGTCAAAAATCTTAACTAGAATTGTCAGAGAAAGATAGAAAATTGGCGTAAGAACTATTAGGAGAAGATCAATTTGGGTTTAGAAGAAATAGATGAACGCGGAAGGCCATTCTAGCTGTACGGGTAACAATAGAGAAAACAATAGAAAAAGGAAAGAGCGCATAACTAGGATTTGTAGATTTAGAAAAAGCTTTTGACAATGTTAAATGGAACAAGATGTTAAATATCTAGCAAGGAGGAGTTAGAAATAGCTTTAAATAAACTGGAAGTGGAATTGACAAAATAGTATTGTATGAAAATAAATAAAAGTAAAACAAAAATACCGTTATGCAAGGGAAGAAAAAGTAGGGAAAGAGCGAATATAAAGATAGGATACGAAAAATTAGAAGAAGTGGCTGATTTTAGATACCTAAGAAGTCAGATAAGTCAGGGCCGAAGGAATAGCAAGGGTTGTTAGCTAGTTGCTTATAGAGTGAGTACTGTGCGAGTTGACCCTGAGTACCTTAGTGAAAGCATGCTATTAAACTGTTTACCATGGTAGATACTCTAGACTCGCTTAATTTATTTTCTGAGGAGTTGACCCTTAATACCTGTGATCCGGAAAAGATTGTAATATAAATCATGAACTATTATTTATTTATTCATTTCGTTTTATTCATTTATTGGTGGTTTAATTGGTCGCTCATATAGTCCTTTTTGTTTATTTTACAGATGTGTCATTTCGGACTTATTAGACCATTCATACATACGTAATTTACTACTTTCATTTTTATTGTTTAAGATAAGTTGTTTCGTGTTCATAATACAAGTTTAAAGGGAAATACTTACTTTTAAGTCATTGTAATTAGTTTATTTATTTATAGAAAATACCACAAGTGGCGCGGAAAA